AAATCCAGTCAAAGATGTACAGAAATATTGTCACCTGAGAAACATGGACATCTTCCTTTAGATAATGTAACCATCTCCAAGATAACTGGCAGGCAGCAAGTTTTGCATCCTGAGTTCAGCCTGCACCAATAAGTAATATATTGACCTTTCACCAAAGTAATGCCAGACAGAAGGCATATCATTTGCTCAGATAATACTATCCTGTTCCTACGTTCTTATAATTACCATGTTGTCAGGTAGATGTTGTATTCTAGTTGTACTGGAACAGGTTTGCTAGGTGTGTGGCTAGTTCTGAAGTATGAGTATTCTCTGCTGCTGCTGGAATGTTTTGTTCATGCACGTTAGTTGGTCCATACAAATGCACTTTGTCACTCTTCTATTCCAGTCTCCCACCCCCTACCAACTTTGTACTTTACCAGTGTCATTTGTATTCAGTCACGTGTCTGACTGGACATTAATTTTAAGCCCACTTGTACTTAGTGACTCAATTAAAGCATTCCTTTACTAAGCAGAATCAAGATTGCTTTCAATTTTCAGTCGCATGGTATTACTTAAATTAGATGCTGAGTCTGTAAAACGAAATTTAAAATCAGGCGAATGGATATCTGAAAAAGACTTCTTTTAAAAACCTGACAATTTGAGCAATTGATGATCTGAAAACTCATGTTCGTTAGATAAAGCTATTAAGGGATATGGAAGTAGAACATTGTGGTTCAGATACAGGTTAAATCTTTAAATCTTGCTGAATTAATATTTGCCATCTATAATTAGAGATTTATCTAGAGAAAAAGTGTAGAATCAGCTTCCAAATGCTAAAATTCTTTTTAAAAGGAAAGTGGCTAAATTTCCATCATCACTAATGCCTTGCAAAAACTGATATGATTACGTCAGAGACCAGTCTACCAGATCTCCTTGTGCAGCCATGGGCCAAGAGTTTTGCATCAGGCGTTCTTTTTCCATCCGGTCACATTGGTGCTTCAGTCCAAACCACAGAGCTTGAGTGCTGATATCATTTTCAGATCCTGTACATGCTATCAGCAATACGTAATGAATATTTGCATTCTTGATGAATCTGAATGTGAGTAAAAGGCAAGGCAGAAGATCCAGGACAGCGCTGAATCTAACTGCTACAATGTGCAAGTGTCATGACATAATTCTTCACTTCAAAAAGAGAAATGAATTTGTACTCTTGGCATCGTAGGTCAGAGCAGTTATGTGAACAGTAAACTATAAAACAATGAGGGCAGACATTTATCTTGGTGCACAAAGTTATAGACTCCCATTCATTTTCTGTTTAAAATATAAAGTGATAAAATATAAAGTTGTACTGATGTATCTAGGTCTCTGATTTGGCCTTTTAATAAACACTACTGTGTGAATCTAAAACCACTGCACACACAGCTGTTGTGTGTGGGGGATTGAAATACAATAAGTGCTCAGATGTCTTGTTATTGGAGGCCTGTGGCCATCAAGCTGTCCATCCAAGTCATTGGTAAGCCTCAATGATTGTCAGTCACTGTATTAAGCTAAGAGTTAGTTCTTTGTTCTGTTGAGTTGGCGTAGGATACCTTAGTGCAATTTCAAACTATTTAAACTATACAAGTTTGAATATTCTATGCAAACATCAAGCTTACATCAGATGAATTTGCAATATCATACTAAGAAATCCTCCTAACCATCCTAATGCAGAGAATCAATGCGCTGTAATATAATAATTCTCAATACTTGAAATGTTTCTGAAACTGAAAAGAAAAAGCAAATAGGCTTTGAAATTCTCTTTGGGGGTAAAATGTATCATGTTATAACCTTATAGTATTTTATCACTGAAAGCTTGAATCCTCTTAAAACATTTTTAATTCTGCTGAAGAAAGACTAAGGTTGGAGACTTCATAAAGCTTCTGACTTTGTCCACCCCAGTCCAAATCTAGCTCCTCCACACTACGTCATAAAGCTGACTACTAAACAATCAAAAAAATTCCCTTCAAGCTGAATAAACAGATCAATGCTGAGCCATTAACTGAACAAGATTGGGGTGATCGGACTGTCGCTGGAGCTGGCCCTTCTAATAATCCAGCCTTGCCATCCGCCCACCTGGAGACAAGCCTATCTCTAACTCGTACCTCACCCTCAGGTGAAAATAACGGATGAGTGGGCTCATTTTTAAAACTAAGTCCGTGATGTCGGGAATTCCGATTTGAGGTGTCAGTTTGGTAGAACTGGTTAGACCTCCTGAGTTAAAATTTAGATTCAAACCCCACTTCAGATCTCAAATGCGAAATTATTATGCATTTTCTGATGTACCAGCAGCAATATTTCCAATGAGGTGATAACATGAAGTTCTTTTTCCTCCTGAGGTTGAGCATGCAGGAGGATGCTTTTGCACATTCTGAAGATATCCGCTTTTGAAGAGTTCTTTATATTCTGATTGCTATTCTTGCAGCAGCAAGAGCTGCCAAAACAGTTTGGTTGTTTGTTGGATATTCCTGTGTGCATTGGTTATTGCATTTGCTTATGTAACAATAATGACTGTACTATAAGAAATTATTTTTGTTCGGGAATTACTAAAGTCAAGTTCTTTCTTAAACCTTGACTTGAAGGTTGTTTGAGGTCAAAGTTTTTTGTTTTCTCAACTTCTCAAAAGTTTCTTGGCTGTAGTATTGTTTCAATGAGATATATACATAAAAGCAAAATACTGCAGATCTTGGAAATCTGAAGCAAATGCAGAAAATACAGGATAAATTTGGCCAGTCTAGCAATATCTGTAGAGAAAGAAACCAAGTTTACTCTTTCAAGTCCAATATGACTTCTTCAGAACTCAAAACATTAACTCTGTTTCTCAGTCCACAGATGCTGCCAGGCCTACTGAGTTTTTCCAACATTTTCTGTGGTTAAAATTAGGTTACATGATAATCTGTATTTTATCTCTTTTCAATTGTATTCTGAATTTTTTTAAATCAACACAAGAAATGTTGGCTCCTACTTGCATTAATCTTTTGAAAGATTTTAGTGGTTTATATTAATACCAGGTCTAATATTAACAATGTTTCAGATCATAGAACAATCTAGGATGGCTTTCTTAAAAACTTATTGAGACTAGCTGCTATGCACATACAATCATATCGCCCTCCCATGGGTAGACTTTAAATTAAATTTGATTTTAACAAAGTTAAATTTATGTTTGTACTGCCTGCTTAGATTACCTAATGTTTCTTTAAAAATCTTGCAAAAGAGTTTTGTGAAAATTTTAGTATATGTAATGGTTTTCTTGTAGTGACTCAGGCAGAAGCAACAGTGCGGAAGTCTGTCTGACATTAATTCTTCCTCAGCATTTATGCTTGAGTCTGGGCAATGGGCCAATGCACATAAATTAGATATCAGTAATGTACATCTCCCATTCCTTCACTGGCCTGGAGTCTTGTCTGCCAATTGTGGGTTGGGTTTTTTTTTATCTTGCGAATCCAGCACAAATATCCAAAATTGCAAAAGATAAAGTAGAAAAAAAATTGAGATTTCATACATAGGCTATTACTCGCTTGTCAAGATTAAGGCACTTTGTCACATGGTTTCTATAAATACCTAGTGAAGTGTTAGTTTTAGGTCTGAATTTTAGCTTGCTGTTCAAAAATAGGAGAACGTGTACAGTAGAACTTCATGACTTCATTGTCAGACTTGGGTATCAGCATATAAATGCAAAGTTACTATTTTATGGAAAGACATCAAGATTCATTTTGGTGACCAGAAATCATCTCAGTTCAGCACCCAAAAAGTGATGGTGTTAGAAACTTTGGTGCAATTTGAACTCAACTGTATGGAGATTGGGAAATGAGAGACTAGCCAGGCTTGCTGTCGGTACAGTCAAGTCTCTATCTAGGTTTCATAAAGAAAAAGCATGAAATAGGATTTTGGCTGCAAGTAAGTTTAGGCATGGGTGGGAGACACGTAATAGTATAAGTTGTAAGTCGGAAACCAAACTGTTGGAAAGAACGTGTGTGTGAAGGTTGAGCTCTGGACCAAATATAGTGGATTCAATCTTCCCACTGTTTAATTGGAGGACGTTTCAGATCAGTCAGGACTGGATTTTGGAGAAACTGACTAACAACACAGATGCAATGGCGTAGCCGAGTGAAATCATGATAAGAGAGAACTTGGTTTCTTTAGTATGCATGCAGGTCGTGGCATGGTTTGAGGATGTTGCTGAAGAGCAACATATATGTGAGAAATTGGGAGTGAACAAAAGGGTAGTAACTCGAGAAACTTGAGATAGTAATGAGAGTTGTGGAAGATGTTCTCCAGATGTGACTGGATATACGAGATTAAGAACAGCCCTGTTCAGCTGGGCAATGGTAAAGATGCAGCAGAGGTAAATGGTGTCTATTCTATCAAAGACTACAGACCGAATAAGGAGGATATTATAGCATGTTAACAGTCATGGGGGAAATTATTTGTGACATTGGGGGAACTTTGGAGGTGTTGTAGCATTCTGAATTTTTTTTTTAAAATATCAGCTGTGGAGTTGAGAAATATGGGCACGTTTTGGAAGAGCCTTGTTGGGTTGCTGTAATGCATTAGGTTGCAGACTTGCTCGCTGAGCCGGTGTGTTGGATTGCAGATGTTTCGTCACCCTGCTAGCTAACATCAACAGTGCACCTCCAGTGAAGAATGGGTGTTCTGACCCGTTTGTTATTTATATGCCTCAGTTTGATGCGGTGGTTGGTATTACTTGAAGTTTTGTTTTTCAGTGGTTTGTATATTATGTCCAGTTCAATGTGCTTGATGGAATTCCAGTTGGAATGCCAGGCCCTCACCCTTGTGTGCCCCCTCGGCCACGCCTTCTCTTACTGCCCCTCCCCCGACCCACCAACATTGATTACTAGGTCCGGTGTCATTTATATACATCACAAACAATAATAGACTCAGCAATGATCATTGTGGTATGACACTGGACGTTTTCTGCCTTTCGTTAAACATTACCTCTATAATTACTTATTTTCTGCTTCCAGACATTATCATCAGCCGTTGTTCAAGTATTTGCTGCAGAACGCAGTTCGCATTGGACAAAAAAGTGCTGTGGAGTCGCCTGCCTTATCAAAGACAATCCTCAAAGGTCTTACTTTATCCGCGTTTATGATATAAAGGTAAGGGCAGCCTGAAGCATGTTGGCACACAAGCTTTTATTCTTGAGATTTGAGTTCCATTTCTTTCAGCGTGATACAAGTAGGTATTCTTAGCTTTCAGTAAAGCTAATCAACTATTGGCTCTCAATCTACAGCCTAAAATTGTTTATATGCCTAAGAAGGTGCATCAAACCCAAAATTTGTTGAAGTTGATATTGAGTCCAGAAGGCTGTAGAAATCCCAAGCGGAAAATGAAGTGCTATTCTTCGAACTTGCACTGAGCTTCACTGGAGCACTACAAGTAAGCCTGAGACAGACGTGTTTTCCAGGGAACAAGGGGTGTGTTGAAGTGGCAGGCAACTGGAAGCTCT